CTCAACAATGTTTGCTCCTATTATTGTTGAGTTTCCACGACCTTTCTTTTCAGCAGCTTTGTTGTCCTCTTCGATTCTCAATCGAACAATGAGATCTTCAAGGGACTTCTCCTTGCGTTTGTGTTTCAAGTAGTTTTTGAAGTCCTTCCACAAAGGAGGCAACTTCTCAATCATCGCTGCAACTTGGAATGCTTCATTGATGACAAGACTTTCAATGAAAATTCTGTTAGTAAAAACAATATAATTAATACTTTCAACATTAGTATTAATTTGACTTATACCTTCAGCAAGGAGATCGTGAATAATCACTTGCAATTCCTAAACTTGGGTAATAACAGACTTGCTATCTACCATTTTGTAGTCCAAAAATTTAGCGGCAACGAATTTCTTTAACCCGACATCTTCCGTTTTGTATTTCCTTTCAAGCGCTATCCACAATTGTTTTGACGTCTCCATATTACTATAGACATTATACAGATTCGTCCTCCAGTCCGCTAAGAATGAAATTCTTGCATAGAAAATCAGAATGCTTCCACGACTCAGTCACGAGAAAGCGTTCATTTTCTGGAGTTTCATCGCGCAGAACAGGAACATCTTCCTTAATGAACTTCTGCAGACTTAAAAGAAACAGAATTTAATCCGAGCCCACTGAATTCACAGTGTTTCCTTAAGGAATTTAATCCCCTCCTAGTACCCAAGATTGTGGATTATTTTCTCCTAGGATAGAACGAATTACACACTGGAGTAGCGGTACTTCAAACTCCAGTGTTTCAGCGAACACAAAGATCGGTAGCAAATCACACGTACTCTTGCTTTCTTTGTAGTTAAAACAATGCAGAAGAAATGAGGATAAGTCAGAAATTCGTATTGAAAATCTGAGAGAATGGACTGGTATTTATAGCCAATGTTGAGCTCAAACTGAAGAAGTACAACTCTTCAAAACTGAAGAGGTGCAACTCTTTAGAAGGGTTGTTTGTGTAAAACGGCCATAACGTAAATAGCTTTTACAAAAAGCGAAGGGCATATACTGTTCCGTTAGATTTAATATTAATATTCCGTTGAATTTTTACAAAAAATAGATATTTAATAATATTTCTGTTAATATTTACTATTAACAAATAAATTTGGTCTAAAAAATTAATCAATCAATCCGTATCCGAAGCCGAAGTCGAGCCTAGCCGAGCGAGCGACAGCGACGATGGCGCGAGGCTTGCCTTCTTGTTAACTCTTTAAGAGTTAGAAGAAGAGCAATTGTATATATACCTATCAAAACCTTTTCCCTCTTCCAATATGGGACAATGTCCCTTTGTCAAGGAGGAAAACTCAAATATTTTCAATTTCTCTCCATTTCTCATTCACCCTCTTTTAAGCTACATTTAAGCTTAAAAAATTCCAACACTATATAGAATAGGAGAATCAAATAAATGTGATGATGCCAAGTGTAACAACAAAATTTAACAAGTGTCAAATTTTAGGACAAACCTCCAACAAATTTGGAGATTCAAAAAAATTTTTTTAAAAAGAAAGAAAAATAATGATAAATCTATCTATATATAATACGAGAAGCAAATCAATGCGATGATGCCAAGTGTAACAACAAAAATTTAACAATTGTCAAATTTTAGAACAAACCTCCAACAAATTTGGAGATTCAAAAAATATTTTAAAATGAATTGAAAAAACAATAAAAAATGAAAAAAAGTAACAATGTTACAAACTAAAATTACCTACTCAAAACGGGTGAAGACTGGTTTGGGTTAATTAATTTCTTTGTTTCTTTTTTTAAAATTATTTTCGTTTTCTTTTTTAAAATAAAAAGTTTGTTTATTCATTAAAATTCAGATAATATTATTGAGAACAATTGAATAAAATTTAAAATAAAAATATATTTCAAGAGTAATAAAATATATATCTTCTATTATATTACAAAAAGAAAGCAGCACACAAAATATTAAACAAAGTAATATGCTAACAAAAATTTCTATTAATAATATAGTAATATTAAATATTGGATAATATAATAAAGACAAATACAGAACAAAAAAGTTATTCGATGACTATATAAGTCCCTTTAATTTAATACAGATTTTATTCATTAAAATTCAGACATTATTATTATTTAGAATAATAGAATAAAATTTAAAATAAAAAAATATTTCAAGAGTAATAAAATATATATATTCTATTATATTATAAAAATAAAGTAGTAGATAAAAATATTAAACAAAGTAAGTTGCTAATAAAAATTTCTATTAACAATGTTATACTACTAAATATTGGATAATATAATAAAGAAAAATACATAACAAAAAAGTTATTTGATGCCTATATAAGTCCCTCTAATTTAATAGAGATTTTATTAATTAAAATTCAAATAATATTATTGAGAACAATAGAATAAAATTTAAAATAATTTTTTTAAGAGTAATAAAATATATATCTTCTATTATATTACAAAAAGATAGTAGCAGATAAAAATATTAAACAAAGTAATATGCTAATAATAATAATTTCTATTAATAATGTAATAATACTAAATATCAGATAATAAAAAGGACAGCCCGGTGCATTAAGCTCTCGCTATGCATGGAGTCCGGGGGAGGTCTGGACCACAAAGGTCTATTGTACGTAGCCTCCTGGTCACATGACAACAACTTTACCAATTACGTCAAGGCTCCCCTTCAAAATATTGGATAATATAATAAAGAAAAATACAAAACAAAAAAATTATTTGATGATTATATAAGTCCCTTTACTTTAATAGAGATTTTATTATTGGGCATATCATATTGACAAATAAGATGACAATTGAAATTTATTAAAGTAATACGATCTAATATGTTCAAACAATTCTAATCATAATTTAATTTAATTCATATTTTTATAAATATTGACCGCGCATCGCGCGAATACGACTACTAGGGGTAAAAAAAATTGAACCTATTTCTTGTTCAACTTTGAGAAAGGATAAGGAACTATATGGCATTTAAGCCAAAGATTGAGGAGAGGATGAATGATTTTCCAATTTTCCCACTAATTAAATTAATATACATTAACGGAACATTATTCATTATCAATCTCAAAAAATTAAAATTTCATAAAAGGGAATAGCCTTTTCTTTTCTTTTATTTTCTTTTCTGGTGGGAACTTTTAAAATAAAAAACGTCATAACAAAAGTAACATATGTACGATTAAATCTAAAAAAATCTACCACCAAGTCCGCATAATGAAAATAATTAAGCTTCGTTGACTTATAAAAATACTAGTTTGTGTAAGAAAAGGAATACCAAGTCTTGAAAAAAAAGGATTACCAAGTTGATAAGTCTAATCTGATCATATCCAAAATTTTATCTTTTTTTTCGTCTAAACAAAAATATCTAAAATAGTTAGGAGAATTTCAAACGAGATTTTATCGAAACCATTGCACACTACCCATAATTGTAAAAACGAAATATGTCCGAATTTAATTATGCTCGTAGGCTTTAAATGCATCCAAACGATGGGGATCTGGAAAAGCATATTCTTAAACCAAATCTCTGTTATAATTAGCTATTAAAAAGATTCGTAAATGAGGAGTGGAAGTCAGCCAAAGGCCTCATCATTTTGCCATGTGATTGCTTCAGCTTTTCTCTAACTTCCTTCTAATTTCGTGCGCCATTGGCATAATCGGGACGTCAAGTTTTTGAAAATTTACATTTTGGTTCAGATTTCTTGATTATGTGTTCAAAGAATACTTTTAATAAGTGATCAGCTAATACTGTCTTTTAAATTAATTATATTCTTATTTAGTGTAGGTGTGTATATAATATCTAATTAATTTTCATGTTTGATATGTATATCACGTGACATCAAGATACTCTACAATATCTTCTCATGATTATTGTGTAGTTAATATATAAATAATCTTTCTTAACAGTCAATAAATAAAATTAAAACCCGCTTTGTTGATGGCGTGATAGTCAATTACTATCCTTGTCCATGTTATGTGACTTTCTACATTAGTTAAAAATAATAATATGTATATGATTTTCACGAAATTGACGAATTTAATACGTTTAACTACTCAATTATAAATTTTGAGATGTTATTTTCTACATCAAACTATCTTTTTTAACATTTTATTTTACATTATTATTAAAATAAAACTATAATCAAAGTAATATTGAAAGCATCAAGTCAGGGACATCCAATAAAAAAAAGCTAGTACTATAAACTTCGTAATTCAAATCATAATGCGATTGGATAGACTATATAGTGGCATTCGTAAGATGCATATACTCCATCAATTATTTTGCGTTATACTTTCGAAGTTCAATTTCCCTTAAATTAAAGATTGATCATTACTTTTTGACATATTTTTAAAATTTTGGAATTGAACTTCTATTATTTTCAGGCAACTAAGAAAATCTTCAAATAAGATTTTAAATTATGATCTTATATATTTCTCTAACATTGCTCTTCCTTTAAGTCGATTACTAAAAACTTAGATGCGCACTACTAATTTTTAGATAAAATTTAAAGAAAAAAATTACAACACAAACGTCATACGTCCTCATCCTCCCAAAAATATCTAATGGCCAAACTTCTCCTGTCCTAGAAGCATTCTTTTGATTTTTTTTTCAAAATTAAAGTATTTGGCCAAGCTTTTGGAAGAAAAAAAAGTTATTTTGAATAGAAGCATAAACAACTTTGGAAATATAAAAAAAATTAGTTTTTATCCAAAATACTTTTTTAAAAAATAAGTATTTTTTAAAAATTTAGTCAAACATTAATTATTATTAAAAAAAAATTTTTAAATTAATTAATCAAATATAAATTATTTCTTAACAAAAATACTTTTGAGAAAGAGCATTTCTCAAAATAAGTTAATTTTTGCGGCTGGACCAAAATAATCTATAGAAATAAATTGGTGGACCCCAAAAAAGAAAACCCAAAAAAGAAGAGTGGGTCCGGAAGCCATGGATCGGAGCTTGAGGATCCGCACTTTATGCCATCAAGGGTGGTGCCCCCTCCTTTCTTCATTTTAACTTCACTCCAAACACACGTTATTTCCTTCTTTTCTTACAGTTTCTTCACGACTTCAACCATCTCCATTTCTCATCCTCTATATCTATATGACTGACAACAATAACTACAAACCAGTATAATTCCAATAGTATGGTATAGGTAGGTTTGTGACTCGATCTCACAATCTATTGGTTGTAAGTGGACGGCTCTCGCAACCGCCGCCAGACCAACACACTCTTACAACATATGCATAGTCAAAAAAATAGCCTTGTAAGTAAATGCTTGTGTTTTGTTCTTCGAATCAGTACTAGGCAGGTCTTTTTCCTATCTTATCCACTATCATGTTTTTCTTTTTTTGGTTTTCAATTTTCTCTCATTTTTTTTTGGAAATGGGTCTATCTTGAATTGCAATTTTCTTGTGAAATGGCGAGTTTTTACCCTTTTTTTTTTTATTCTTCTTCTGTTTGTTAGGTGAATTTTACTTTTTGAGCTTAATTAGAATGTGATGTTGCTCATCGAATATTCTGATTGATGAATTCCTTAGATACATTTTCAGTTTAGCTGTAATGGTTTGTGCTAAAAGGTGTCTCTTGTAAGATTTGAATGCTTTGGGTTGACATCAAATTCACTAAAGCTAAGAACTTTTAACCATTTTCATTTCAGCAGTGATGGTTTTTGGTAAAAAGTCTCTTTTTGAAATTTGAATGCTTCGGATTGACTCAATTTAGGTAATGGTGTTGGAGAGTTAGTTAAATAATTTCTTTTTCTTTCCCTTTTGGATTAAATAAACCTAGATTGATTTTCTGGATAGTTCAATTTGCAGTGTGTTATCTTTCGTGTTGGCTATAGTGCAATAAACACTTTCCAAAATGGTAAATTTTTAGTTCATCAGGTCTTTACCAGGCAACAACTTGCTTTATTGCGTTATACAATTATGAATAGTTTTTCCTTTTCAAAATAGATTCTTTCATATGGAAACACTTAGAAGGTGTAACTCAAGTTTTGCTTTTCAATAGTCTGAAAAAGATATGTTTAAAAGACTCTGTAGTGCTGAGTTATAAGACTAATTTCCTAGTCTTGGAGAATGAAATTTTGGTTTTAATCAGAAACCGTCTATCATTCCAAAATGGTAATTTGGTTTTAGTTAGAATACAATCGTTATCAAGGTTTGCACAGTTAATAGAGCTAGAGAACGCTGTCGTGGCAGTGAATCAAGGTATTTGTCGTGGTTAACATGATGCTGTATGTTAGCATCAAGATGCTAAAACATAGTGCTGTATGCTGTGATATGGTCTCATGCTTTCTGTGGGAATCCCTAAGGTTTAATATTATTTTCTCCAGGAATTTCTTGATTTAGAGAAGACCTTTTTTCCCCCTTTTTATTTAATGGTTTCCCACCGCCTTATAATTGGGAAATTTATGAGATCTACAGTCTGGATATATAAATGGCTGTACTTTTTGCAAACTTCTATAACAGTAGCTGTAGACATTAGACAAGTCAGTGGTCATATATCTTTCAGCTGCTAGTGTTTAGAGAATACATTTCTTTGTATCTCCTCTTTGTATATAATTGATTACTTTTGATCTGCAGGTTAAATATATCTTCTTACTTCATCAGTTTGAGCTCTCCTGTAAAGCGATTATTGGATTTAGATGAGAAGAGCTGCAATGTGCTTCTCGCTGTCACAGTTTCCTCGATGTAGTGTTCATACCTTGACTAACTCATGGTGGCAAAGTTTCCACCATATAAGTAGGATCGGTAGGGGAAGCATTAGCTCCAAGGTTCTTGCCTCTGGTAAACATGGGCTGGATGGTAGATATAATAGTACTGAGAATAGACAGACGCTAACTACAAAAGCCGAAGGGAAAAACAAGGCTGCTTTTAGCAGAAAAACAACTATCAAGCATGAAATATTAGATGAAACAACAACTTCTAAAGTAGACATATATAATTCAGAAGTAACTGAAATAGGATGTACTAAATATGTTGATATTCGACAGACAATTGCTGAAAACAAAGATTTGGCCAAACTCATGACTATTATCATTTTTGATATTGAGACTACTGGGTTTAGTAGAGAACACGAAAGAATTATCGAGATTGCATTGCGGGATCTTCATGGGGGTGAAAACAGCACATTCCAGACATTAGTCAATCCTGGACGTAGTGTTCCGAATTCACATATCCATGGAATTACTACTGGTATGGTCAATCGACCTGATGTCCCCAGGTAATTTATGATAAATATTGCTGGGTTGTTTCACATGCTTCCTCTATCTCATTGTTTCTTGACTTTTCTTCACATAATCCTATATGAGATTTACAACTTGTCTAATTAAGAGTTCTCCTTTGAAAGAATATATTTGTCAATCTGATGTTGGGTATTGTACTGAGTCCTGCTTAATCACGTGTCTGATATCTGAATGCACTATGTATAAATATAACTAAATGACAATAAGATGCTTTCATGGGGTTTTCTCTTGGAAGCATACTTCTTGTCAACACCTGTTCATTACATGTATAATTCGGGTTCACTCTGCTAATGTGTTGTGCTATTGGCTTAATGGGTGGGCTTGTATGTCATAATGCATTATTTAATTTCCAATGCTAAGGAAAAGACCTTTATTTGAGAAGTGAACTATCCGACAGATTAGTGCATACCTTGGTGAATTACTCTCTAGATGAGATTATGTACTTTCATATTTGCCCTGCTCTTAATCATGGATGTATATGCCGATAATTTACTAATTATCAGACAAACTTATAAATAAACTAGACTCAGTGTCGTGAGAATTAAAACAGCCTTTGGCTGAATAAAATTAAAGTAGCATGCTGGAAAATATCAATTTACTTCTATCTAGAATAGGCTACTGTATGACTCCCTTTATGATAGTGGTATTGAAGCAAGGTAATAGCTCACACCATGTTCTGCCATACCGGTATATCACCTCATATGTATTGTTTGAATCTGTGGTGTATATCCTTTCTTCCTTGCCTTGTTATACATCATATTGTGTCTCTTTACTCTGATGAACAATCCTGGCTTAAATCATATCATCGAAATTAAACAATACCTGGTTGTGCAACTTCAATCATGAATAGCTAAGTCGTGGAATTAATTTTCTTTTTACGGAATTCTGGTCGTAAGACCTAGCAAATTCGAAGTCTCAAATAAAAGTTCTGTTCTCTCCTTGGAGATGTACATGCAGAACCATCTTTTGACTGAATTATACAAGAGCCAAGAAAGTCAAGTGGTATAACATGACTCAACTATTCACACACACATTGAATGGCCTGTCTATGGTGTGGAATAGAGACTATATGTTCCTTTTACCCTTGTTTGGGAATAAGTTTCTTCTTATAATGCGCGTATAAAATATCCACCTTTGGCTGGTTAGCAGAGAAGCTTGTGATATTCTTTTATATAAGAACAATATATATCTGTTATATCTTAATCTTGAGGTTAGAGTTATTTTGCTCTCATACTCTGCTTTGCATTTTTCAGGATGGGGGACCTCATTCCCATCTTATTGCGGTATGTAGGAAGCCGCCAGAAACCTGGTGGATATGTGGTGTTGGTGGCGCATAACGCTCGCGGTTTTGATGTTCCTTTTCTAATTAAGGAATTCAGTAGATGTTCTTTAGATATTCCCTCAAATTGGTTGTTCGTTGATACTCTTCCTTTGGCACGTGAAGTCATGAAGTCCGGAGGTCTTTCTACTTGTCTAAATTTGTGTCTTTTTATCAAAAAATCCAATTGCTTTGGAAGTTCTTATCTTGATATTTTTTACTTTCACTTTCCAATTAGGCACAAAGGTTCCTCCAAAAGTCTCTTTGCAAGCTCTTGGTCAACACTATGGGATCCCATTAGTTGGTTCAGCTCATAGAGCCATGGTGGATGTGCACATGTTATCAGCAGTTTTTCAACGGCTGACTTTCGACCTGAAGTTGACAATCCCTTCTCTTATTGAAGGGCATTCCTTTTGGCCATCCGAAGTAGGCAGCTCAAAGAAGAAGAAGAATACTGGCTAAATATTATAACCGTGCTCAGGTAGTCCAAGTAGTCAGCTGTAACAGATTCTTTTTAGGGAAGTTTTTACTGTAAACAAGTGATAGAATTAGCTCATTCTTCCATTAAAAAGGCTGGTCATAATCAACTGTTGTTTATGAGCCTTGGCATTGATCTTTGCCATTCTTGTATTTAACTTCTCTTTCCCTACTCAGGAATTTGAAAAATCATGTTTCATTTGCAGCTGTCAAATGGTTTTCTTTGTCTTTACTAGTATCTGAGATTGGCAATATGTATTTTATATACCAATTTCGGTCCTAATTATTCAGAGGATTCATCATAAGCAGACTAATTTTATGCTGTCTTTCAACTTATACAATCTTCTTTAATCCGAGCTTGGGATTGGTAAGGAACTCAAATAGAGATCGAAATGTACTAAAAACATCTAACTTTTGACTCTCTTCACTCCTTAGTCGTTTCAATTGGATTTCAAAGCCAACGTTGATGATAATTGTGAGATGGAAAGACCACATCGTTGGAGCAACTTTTTCTATGACGGAGAGAGATCTTCACAGTAAATTATGATATCCATAATCGTTGTCCCTTTGTTAGTTCCCAAAAGTGGGGAAAAAAAATACCTACGACTAACAATCTTTGAATGTATTATGTCATCACGTTTGGTCGAATAACAAATTTTATATTTGGTCTGAATAACTGGACAGTCAGTTTTCACCAGAATACAAACAGGGAATAAAACATAGAGAAATTGCTCTCGTTGAGAGTCGAACTCAAGACCTCCCGCTTACTAAACGGGTGCTCTAACCAACTGAGCTACGAGAGCTTCTGATGCTTGTGTTTGGTCTGTAATATATATATTTTGTGTCTCACCGGTACACAGCCTTTTTTTTTTTAGCGTAAATCAATCTGACATCTATGACTCGAGAAGCAAAAAGTGAATCCTTGTCAATTTTCATTTCGTGAATCTTTGGAAGAGCAAAGAATGGAAACCCTAATCACTCTCACTCCTACTAAAGTTTTTGCTTACTCATAAAGGCCTTTGTCTATAGCCTCTATATTAATCTTAGACTATCGACAATTTCTGTAGTTCTTGTAAAAAAATCGTACCATCTCTTTATGTCTTTCTACTTGTTTAAATTTGTCTTTCTTTGAAAAAATGTTACCACTTGGGAAGTTCTAATCTGGATATTTTTACAAATTGCGTTCAGGTTCAAAGAAGCAGCTCAAAGAAGAAGAAAAAGTACTGGCTTAACATAGAAACCATACTTTGATTATCCAAATAGTCAGCTGTAACAGATTCTTTTTAGGAAGTTATTTCTGTATACAAGTGATAGAGTTAGCTGAATTCTTCCATTTGAAAAGCTGGCCAAACGGACGGAAGGTTGCTTATGAGCCTTTGCATTGATCTTTGCACTCTTGTATTAATATTCTCTTTCTTTACTCAAGAATTTTAAAAATCCAGTGTTATTTGCAGCTGTAAAATGGTTTTCTTTGTCTTTCGCACAACTGAATCAACTAAACTTCAATCCAGACTAATTGATTTCGACAGCATGAATTTTATATACCAACTTTGCTCTTCATGTTCAGAGGATTCTTCATAGATAAACTATTTTGCGCTGTTTCTCAACATATGCAGCCTTCTTTAGTATGCGCTTGGAATTGGTTATGCTTTATGGAACTCACGGAGTCACTGAAATGCACTAAAATCACCTCATTTTCACTCTCTTCACTCCTTTGTTGTTTCAATTGGATCCAGAGCCAATGTTGATGATGAATGTGAGGTGAAAAAACGACATTGTCAGAGCAACTTTTTCTAGTATGAAGAGAGATCTTCACAGGAAATTACAATATCCTCTATTGATGTTCTTTATTACTTCCCAGGAGTGGAAAATAAAGGATTTAGACTAAAATCTCTGAACATATCACGTCATCGCATTCAATTATTCAAATGGAAAAGAATTACATCCGTCAGGGTGAACATACAATACAATTTTGATAGTTAGTCTAACTGTAAACGTGGCTTATTAAATGAGTGCTCTAACCATTTGAGCTATGGGAGTTTTTTTTTTTTTTTTTTTTTTTTGGGGGGGGGGGGG